CGCTGTTTTAAATAATATGTATGTTTAAAAGATCTATAAATGGATTTTTTTTAAGTGGAATTAAGAGAGAACTTCGGTAAAGTTGAAAAAAAATAAAGATAAAAATTTTCGATGAAAGGATCGGTTTCATTCACATGGCAGCACCTTTGTGTAATGATTTCGGGAATTTTTTAATATGCAACTAGGTTAGCAATTACTGGTCAGTAGTTTAAATTTGAGAGGTTTATGTTCAACTGTGAAAGTAAAAGCGAATTAAAAATAATAACTTCATCAAGCTAATTGAATAAAATATAATTTGAAAGTTCATTGAACTAAGATTAACTTGAACTGAATTATTTTCATGAACTTAACTAGTTAATCAAAACTTTTAAAAGTAAGTTTTTTAATTTGAAGTGTTTTGTGGAGATTTGTTAAAATTTTAAAATATTTAATAAAATATAGCACTTTATTTATTAAAAATATTAAATTCTGTATTCTTACGTAATAGTTATCATATATTCAAACATTTAGCGGTAAACTAAAAATGATTATGAAACAACGATTAAATATAAAATAAATGATAAATTCACTTTGTTGCACAATTAGTAAAACTTAAAGCAAAGAAAAGGTCAAATTTTCACATATATGGAAATTACTATAATTCATTAGAAAGAGAAGTGAACAGCAGTAAGTACCTAACCATTTGAAATAAACTCTTACACTAATCCATTCAGTGAACTGCTTTAGTGATAATAAATATAGTTAAGCGTAGTTTTGTTCATAGATAGTTCAGTTATTAATAGTTTAGTGCAAACAGTTATAGTTGGAATCATAGTTGTAATTGATGATCAACCCTTCATCAAAAAGCATAAAGACAATGATGGAAAGGCTATAAATAAATAAATATACAGAGTGACTCCTACTTTATTTAATCTTGGCTCTTGCCATGAGTTTAAAGTCCATTTTATATAGTCATAATAAATCGATTTAATCCTCTCCCTCACACACACTATATGTATTTTAATAAGAATGTGTTTCTATAATAAAATTTTCAAGAATTGATGTTCTATAATTTTAAGAAATCTATTCATAATATCTTATTTATCCACTACAAAAAAATTCTTTAATTACTAATAAAATTTTATTAACGATTTTTTTTTCAGCAAAATAAAATTTGACTAATCAAACAAAATTGATTAATTGCATTGATTTTTAAAATGACGTTTTTTAAATTTCTTGTTTTGAATGACCATTTCATGTAAGATTGTTGAAATATTTGTAAGCAATTGAATTTTTTTAAATTTACTAATAAAATATGTTGATAAAATAGAATTTTTTTTATTATAGAAAAAAAAATTAACAATAAATGCATTGATAAAACAGGTGTCAAATTTCCTTAAACATGAATACGTATAAACTAATTAGATATATGTGAGAAATGAAAAAAAAAATGAAAAAGGTAAAGGAGGATAAAAAGAACAAGAAGAGCCAAAGGTAATGCAACAATGGAGCAGTGGATGACAACAAACGATGGAACAGGATGGCAATAGAATGACGATAGTGGTGAAAGCGGTGGTGGTAGCGGAGGAAAAAAGAGGAAGTGGGAGGAGGAGGCACATAGTGGAGTTGGAGAAATTAAGTGGTAATGATGGTAGCTAAGGGAGGAAATGTTATTTTAACCGTCACCAATAACTTTTGTAAGGACTTAGAAATTTGTATTTTAAAAGTGGTAATGGTTTAAAATTAGTAAGATTTGATTATTTTAATATTAAAAAGTTTTATTTTAAATAATTTTATTATGAACGAGTTTCATTAATTTAAAATACAATCTTTTTATAAACCATTTTTTTTAGAGTTTTATGACTTTTCTGTAAGAGTTCTCCTCTGTTCGTCTCATTGAAGAACCGAGTCGTGGATAAGTCTTGCGACGAGCTTTTAATTTGGATATCAATTAGTTTCTCTTTTTTAGTAAGTAAGTGTCAATCTATTTTCTCTGGTCTTTTCTCAGATATGTTGCATGTGGTCTTTCTCATCTTGCCATGTGTTTTTTGAAGTCATCAATTAAGTCTTGTGATCACTGGTTCTAACGATGTATTTGATCGTGTTCTGTTGGTTCACAATAGCAGATAGGAGCTTTCTGAGTGTTTGGAGCTATTTTAAGCTTCTTAGAGCATTTTAGTCATCTGTTAGGTAAAGGAAGCTAAAATACCTTGTATAAAATTTTCGGTACCTTGATAATATGAGATGGTATACTTAAGTTGATTAAAATGAAACGAGTTGCCGAATTTGGGTATTTGAGCTTGTTGAAATTCCATTGTGTTGTTTTATAATTGTTTGATTTTGGTATGAAATCTTATTGTCTGGTATGAGAAAATTATGATGCAATTTATTGTTAAATGGTATTTATTTTGGTTGTCTAAATTGTTGAAATTGAGGTTATCATTAGTTGATATTGCTACTGAATTGTGATTTGGTAATAGTTAGGGTGTGTTAGAAAAATTGACTTAGAATTGATGGTTTGACAGGTGAAATTTCGTGGGAATTGTTCTTGGAGTGAGTTTGAAGTTAGAAGTTTGTGTTGATGTTATTTAAGACTTGGTTCGCTTTTTGTTTTGTTGAAATCTGGTATTTTAGTATGCTTAAATAGAGGTTGGACTGTGGTGTGGTTTGTTTGATATGATGGACTGAGTCATTGCCTAAGTGATCAAATGTATCCAATATGAAAGGTTATTAAACAGTTTTTGAATCAATCCATAGTGTTAAGAATACCAATGTAATCATTTGCGACGGTATTGAGTGCAAAATATTTAAGCAGAAAGAATAGAGTTGTTGGTTTCTGATGTGGTGGTTGAGCGACACGAGTGGCGCTTAGTGCTGTAGGTCAGAGAGACCACTAGGCTCTGGACTTTGAGCGCTATGAAGTCAATGACCTCTTTGTTTTCTAGATGTCGAGCGACGCTTGTTGGTGCTGAGTGACACTTTTCCCTACAAGTTTGGAACTCTTTTCTTCATAATTCGCTGAGCTAGAGATTCTATTGTGGCGTTCAGTAGTGTAATGTATTGATGTAGTGATTCCGTTTTGGGGTTATATTGATACTCCAATAATCATCAAATCTCAAGTAGAAAATGAGTGGGTTATGTCATGAGGAGTAGCAGGAGGTCCTAGTCTATGGTTTGATTCCTTAACTATAGGTGGTGTAGGAATTAACCTTGTGAGGTAGTTTGGGTGGGCAAGCTGTTTCACCATCAAGTACAGTTGTCGTCATAGTTTTTCATCAATACATGTATCTGGATGTTTAAGTCTAGTATTTATGAGTGCATGTGTTACGATTTTTTTATATGGATGTTTGTGTGTTAAAATCTATATAAATGTTATGAAAACTCTTTTGGTACATTAGCTTATCTTTTGTCTTTGTTTGTTTGTTTGTTTCTTTTTTTTGTTAATGATCACTTTAATGGTGTGAGTATATAAAGATGTTCTAGTTGATCTGATGCATAACAAGGGAGATGCTAAAACTTAAGAATGGTTAAAATTATATTATATTTAATTTCCTTATCTTTTAAAAGTTTTAGTATATATTAGTTTATATATATATATATATATAACTTCTATATATTTAACTGATGCATATAATAATTATATTTATGTTAAATTTGGTCGCTTTATTATCTCACCTTTATCACATCCATTTAGTAATTTTAAATTATTAAAATGACATGTTACAAATTTTTTATTAGTGTAACTATTAATTTAATTTAAGCTATTTTAATTAGCCAAAAAAAATTAACTTATATTGAAATTCAATTTTATAAATTGATCCATGAAGAAGAAGAAAAACTCACCAATGAAATTTTAGTATATTATTTTTATTTTATTATACTGTTTATTATCTTTTACTTATTTTGTAATATTTTATTTAAGTTTCACATTATACATAAATAAAATATTTAAATATAATTTAAAAGTAATATTTATAATTTTCTTAAAAAGTTAAATTGGAATGAAATTAATATTTTATATAAGTTGAACTCATATTTTATTATTGTTATATTTTATTGTATTTATTATAAAGCTCATTAACATGTCGAAAGTGATAATCTATCTTGATTATTAACTTAACAAATTCACAGGTGAAAAATTTTAGATGCAAGAATTCCTAAGACTTTACGTCCGACATGTTATCATAAAATTATCTAAATGTATTATGTATTTTTTTTTTCACTTTTTTATTTATCAATTTATTCAAAATATAAACAATTAGTATCAAAAATAAATTAACTAATCAGTATTTTTTATCTAATTATCGAAATTTTAAAATAGTTAAAGTATTTAAAACAAATATATAAACATAAAACAGAGTTTCCATTATATATTTAAGTCAAAGTAGATCCCATCCAATATCTGGTGCATAATATTTGGCACGTGAAAATGTCAACTAGAAACTAGAACATTTTCGTTTTGTATTTGGTCCGAATACAACATGGAACCAATTTTTAAGTTGTATATTTGGTATCATGCAGAATAAAGTAGAAGAACCATTCAACCAATTTCTTTCAATACTCATAATTGTTTGACGAAGAAAATACTTATAATTTTTACAATTTTAAAAAGAATCGAAAATGTATTAAAACTTACAATTATACTTTTTGAAGGTATCATAAAAAAAAATATTCTGAAATTTCAGAATGTATAATAATTTTTAAATGGAATATTCTAAACTATTTCATAATAATATTTATTATTATAGAATTACTTCTTCAAAGGAAATTAAAATCTATTACGGAATATTTTTTTATAAGTGTACAAATAAAAAAAATTGAAATAAGTTTCAGCAAGCATTAAGATGAAAGAAAAAGGTGTATAAAGAAACTATGGAGTTGCAAACAGCATATTATTCACTCTAACAGCCCATTACGAAAATTTGAAATCGGATCATATGTATTGTATACGAATCACGCGTATACTATTACGTATCGGAGCAGAACAGAAAGGAAACAAGGTCGTTTGTTCACAGGTACGGTCTCTGATAATCTCAGACCCAACGCTCTCTGCGTAGCGAACCCGTAGTTTAGGGCTGTGATTTCGATTTCAGCTTCGACTTTCGATCGCTCTCCATTTTCGTGAATTCATAGCTGATTGACACTTCCTTCAAATTTCGTTTATGTATGTTTCTGATGAACAAAACGACTTCACTGCTGATTTCTTTTTCATTCATTAGAAGCTTTAAGTTTTCCAATTAGGAATCAGTTGAGATGAACGGCGAGGAAGTTTGATATCGTATTATTATTCGACGATTCATAGCTGATTTGCGCGTCCTTCGAATTTCATTGATACATGTCTAGGATGAGCAAAGCGACTTCACTGTTAGTTTCATTTTCGTTCATGTTAGGATGCTTGATTTTATCGATTAGGAATTAGTTGAGACGAGCACCAAAAGAGTTTCATATTTTATATTGTTATTCGTTGATTCATAGCTGATTGACACATCCTTCAAATGCATCGATACATGTTTAGGATGAACCAAACTACTTCACTATTGATTTCATTTTTGTTCTTATTAGGAAGTTTGAGTTTTTCAATTGAAATTAGTTGAGATGAGCTCCGAAAAACTCCTATATCATATTAATATTCGTGGATTCATTGCGGATTGGTACTTTCCTTGATTTCTTTGATATGTACTTAGGATCGGGAAAATGGTTTCGCTATATATTTCATTTTTGTTCGTGTTAGGAAGTTTGAGGTTTTTAATAGGAATTAATTGAGATGAGCACTGAAAACATTTCGTATTACTATTGTAATCATCCCTGTTGACCGAGTTAAAATTGGTGCTATACAATCTCGGGGAGATTTGGTCCAGCCGATCCCCGGGGTTAGTTTCATTTTCGAGAATTTTTTGTTGTTCTGCTAGCATACAATTTTCAGTCTTTTAGGAAATCTTCCTCAGTGTACGACAGTTGGAACATTGAAAAAGAATGAAAATAATTTATATTTTGCTATTTTAATGCTGCAACCTAGTGTGTTGGCAGCATGTACTCAACAGCATGGTTAGTCTAGTGATTTTGTAATTTGTTTCCTCCAGAAAAAAAGATTAAAAGTGCTTTATGTGATATGGTATGGCATGCTATGGATTCTGGAAGCTATTCTTCAGTAGCTTTTTCATGTTAAATGGCCTGTTTCTTTTGATGATTTTTGTCATTCACTTGTGCTTGGGCATAAATTAACTAACATAAGATAAAGGTATTACATTCAACATATTTTGATTTACATGCTGGATATTATGATAGTATTTTGCATTTAGATATGTCAAGAATAACATGATATATAATATGCTTGTGTGTGGCTTGCGTATTGAGATGCTCAGTTTATCTTGAGAGTTGTAGAAATACTTTTTTTGAATTGGATTCAATCCTTTGATGTTGTTTGGTGATGTTTCTTGGTTTTATTTTTCATGATAACAAGTTTTATGTGCAAATCTGATTTCTCTCTCTCTTTTAGGATGTGACTGGTTGAGGTTACTTCAAAATTGTTTTACTTGATCATTGCAATGAAGCTGTAGAAGATAATCTATACAGACAGATGCTCATAATTCAACAATGAAGCGTTATGTTTATATTGATGATGATGAATCATCTCATGATATATACTGTGATAATCGTATATCAAACAGAAAATATACAGTATTAAACTTTCTTCCAAAAAATTTATGGGAACAGTTCAGGTAATCTTTCTCCTAACACTCTTTGTTTTTCATTTTTTTAATATGTGTCATGATATGTTGCACATGCATTTGCACACCTTTAGGGTTCGTCTGTTTGATCTTCTCTTGTATATTCTTTGATATTTGTTTTGTTGGATATTCTGTGCTATTGCATATGCAATGTCGGTCCTGGTGTGGGACAAATACATCAATTTTCTAACCAACCTTGATAAGATTGTCGATCAATCCACAATTACACCTTCAATTGATTCACCAAGTTTGTGATTTTGTTTAATAGGTGTCTCTACTGGTTTACATCCTAATTTACCATTTTGAGCCAATAAATCCAACACATAATTTTGCTGGGAGATGAAAATATCATGATGGGAATGAGCTACTTCATTGTCCAAGAAATATTTCAATTTGCTTAACTTCTTAATTTCAAATTCTGTTATCAAACCTTATTTTGAGGCTTTGCTCATGTCTGATCATTTTCAAATGCAGCTATATCTTCTATACAAACAATTAGTGTGATAACTCCCTCTGAGGCTAAATGCTTAATAAGCAATGCATAATCACTTTGTCTTTTCTTGTACCCATGATCTTCATTGTAGTAGTAAACCTGTCAAAACATGCTCTAGGAGAATGTTTCAATCTATAGAGTACCTTCCTTAGTTTCCACACATTTCCTTCCTTGGCTTTAAATTTAGATGAGACCTCCATGTAAATTTCTTCCTCAAGATTGTCATTTAGAAAGACATTTGTGATATCAAATTGCTGCAAACTCTATTCATAATTAGCTGTTAGAGACAATAAAATTCTAACAATATTCATTTTTTCAATAGGTGATCAAGGTAAATCAATCCCATATGTATGAGTATGTCCCTAAGCTGCTAACCTTGCCTTATACCTTTTTAAGTTGTCTTGTATTTAATAGTGGATGAGACAAAAATTTTATACGTGTTAAGTATGGGGACGGAGATATGGGTAAAGTTTTACTTCAGGGATGAGGATGGTGTTTATTTTGGGATGGGATGAGATAGGTAAATCCATACCTACTCCACCCCATTGCCATCCACCTACATCCAACAATATTTTTTCCTTTTGGTAGATCCACCAACTCCCAAGTTTTATATTTTCTAGAGCAACCATTTCAACTTTCATAACTTTTTCTCAGTCCATACTATTCCATGTTTTTGGGATGGTGACAGTAGTTAGATGCCTAAGAAAGCTTTTGTGATTACTTGATAGTTTGTCATAAGTCACAAAGTGTGACAATGTGTCATAAGACACATTAATCGGATAGTTTGTCACAAGGAGGTAATTTTATTTTGTTGGATATTTTATGTGATTTTATAGATTCTACTTTCTAGGCATGAACCATCATATAGTTAACACTAGGAAGGGAGAGTTCAGAAGATTAGTGGACAATGGCATTAATGTGGAGGATCCAGACAGTTTTAATTTGACATTTTGTGTAACTCACTCTTCCTATATTATAGGGATTCAGCCTTGTTCTTTATTTTTTGTTGTGGTTGTTGATAGAAAACACTGATACACTGATTTCGTTTGTTTGTTTTTTTTAAAAGGTACAAAAGACACTGAGACTCTATTTACAGAAAACTATATAGACATAGACAGAGCTCAGTCACAAGTTAGTTATAACCTTCTTCCTAAAGCAGTTGCACTAATTAGAGGAGAAACTATGATAACTACCTCACAAACAGATACACTAAATAAAACAGAGACCAACAGTTGTTGCAGCTAACCAACTCATTAACATTGTCTAACAGAAGTATAACACTCACAGTTGTTTTGTTTACTGTGCAAGCCTTCTTAAGTGTACGCATGATCAAGGAACCTATTTTTATTAAACAAAATGAGTTTTTCCTTGGTGTTAAAATTTCATGTTAATTTTCTAATTAAACATTACGATCTTTTAATCCATCTGATTTTGCTCCTTTTTCCAGCCGGTTCATGAATCAGTACTTTTTGCTGATAGCTTGCCTACAGTTATGGCCTCTCATTACTCCAGTAAATCCTGCCAGTACATGGGGTCCGCTTATCTTTATTTTTGCTGTCTCTGCATCAAAAGAGGCTTGGGATGATTACAATAGATATCTTTCAGACAAAAAGGCAAATGAGAAGGAAGTCTGGGTTGTGAAGAAGGGCATCAAGAAACATGTATAAAACGTATTTAATTTTCTTGAATATATATTTTGCTATGTTTCCAGCCATTGATCATCATCACTTGAATAATCTGTTTACAGTATAGTATAATCTGTTTATCTTTTCAAGATATTGTTATTTTTTTTTATTTCAGTTGATGGTTTTAACTTTAATCTAAATTCTATGCAAAAAGGTATGACGTAGCTCTCATGGTTTTTAAAATATCAAGGTATTGTCTCTACGTATACTTTTGTGTTTGAGCAGTTTACTTATGGATACATGTGTATTTTCTCAAACTTTTTGACATTCCTGGTCTTCCTTTTTCTCATTTTCTTTTTCTATTCCCATTTTTTTTTTGTTCTAAAAGGTCAGAGACTAGTGCATGTTTGGTTGGTTCATTCTTGTAATGATTAATTGCATAGTTATTTTCTCCTCTATATTCTTATAGTTATACATATAAAGCAAAATAGAACCTTTAGTTTTTAAGAAAGGCATGGTTCGTAAAAGGGTTAGTGGTCTAACATAGACATGGGATGCTTACCATTGTTTCTTCATTCTAATGAATAAGGCCGTAGGCAACAATGAATGACTGTATCTCTCACCTAACTACAGATTATTTGAACTCCAGCATGCAGCTTCTAGTCTATGTATGTACTTATTGGCCATATAAATTTATGTGTCATGTTCATTGTTACCTCTCTTGCCAAAATATGATGTGATGTTTGAGCACATTTTGACACAACATTTTTATTTAACTGTAAGAACCAATGGTCATGTTTATCTATTAGAGGATTACTCGTTACACTTGCTTGAAGCATTGTATGACAGTGATAGTGATTCTAACTAGACATGGCCTGAAACCTGCTTCTGCCATTTAAATAAATGGTCTGTTTGTTTATGCCTATTTAGTGAAAAAGTGCTTTATTGAAAATGTCTAAAAAATTATGATAATAGATAAGAAGCTGTTTTATTGCTTTCTTAAAAAATGAAGATGTTTTATTGCTTTCTTAAAACACGAAGAGCTTCTGAAAAGAGCTTTTAAAGCAAGCTACATAATAAAAACACCTCTTTCTTTTTTAGAAAAGCTGAAGCTGAATAAACTTCAAACTTCTACTTCATATCCCATATACACCTTGGTCTGCTTCATGTCTTGTAGGAAGACTTGAGAATTAAACTGTAAAATAATTCTAGAGGGCTTGATTGATCCCTCTCACAATCTTCTATTTATAAGAATTAATTGATACAAAAGTACATGATAAATAGAGTAACCCTAGACACAATATAATCATGATAAATAGGGTAATCCTAGACACAATATAATCATGAAAAAATAGGGTAACCCTTAACACAATATAATCATGATAAGTAGGGTAACCCTTGACACAATATAATGATGATAAAATAGGATAAATATCCTAACACGAAGGAAGATTTACATAAGCTTTAACATTTGATATTATATGGTGTGTTCTTATATGTCTGTAGATCTAATGATTTTTTCTTGGGTGGGCGTGGTTCTCTTGGTGGTTTTGCAGATTGAAGCCCAGGATATTCATGTAGGTAATATAGTATGGCTACGTGAAAATGATGAAGTGCCTTGTGACCTTGTTTTAATTGGTACCTCTGATCCTCAAGGAGTTTGCTATGTAGAGGTAATTATGTTGTGAAACATGCTAAAGTTGGTCTTCTCTCTCTGCAGCATTGCAGGGGGGAATTGGAATGTAGTTCCACTATGTTTCTTCTAAATCTTNTTCCTTCATTTGTTACTCGAAGAACTTCCCACATCTCCTGAGCCGTTTTACACACTGAAATCCTGTAAAATTAAGTGAGCCAGTGAGCCAACCCGTTTACCCACCAACCCGTGGTAAGTCGGACCGAGTTCGAATTTTTCTAGCTCGCTAATAAATTAGTTGGATTGGGTTGGCTCACTAAGTGACCAACCCATGGTGCCCCGGCGGGGTGACCCGTTTTGACAGCTCTAGTTGCAAGTCTCACATCGACAATAGATAAGACCAATTTATAATATATAAGTAGATGCAAATCTCACTTACAAACCGGTTTTGTGGGATTGGGTTACGCTTAAAGTATTATTTGAAAATCAACTTAGAAAATATATCGATTTTAAAAAAAAACACTGTCTTTAATTTAAGAATGACATAAAATATGAAGTAATCCTAAAAGTTAATTTTAAAAATTTTAAGTGTTTGAATATTTAGAACTTGAGTTTAGACATCCACAAAATTTTAACGCTATTTTGTGAACTCTAGATAATTAAGTACCCGAATCATATTCTTTTTTTTTTGTATAAGATCCTATTTTGACCTTAAAAATGATGATATAGAAAATACAAAACAATTTAAGATCAACATGAAAGGACTAAATCAAAATCTATACAAGTCAAATCCCACGAATATTAGAATTATGTCATAAGTAATTGTTCAAACAAGCAAGATCGAAAACATTGAAATATGTTGACACATGCAATCCAAAAACACTTAAATATAGAAAATGTCTTTGTTTACTAGTAACTTAGATAATTAACTATGATCATGTAGCTACTCTTCACCAACTTGAGTTGTAAATCAGTCTTTTCATGAAGGTAGCACTCTTACATGTCTGGTAGCAAACCTTTCAGCCTCAGAAGGTTGAGGCAAATGTACAAGAGATGCTATTTCATCCTCTCCCCATATATCTTCAAGGGGTCATGGTTATCGAAAACGCGAGTTAACTCGTTAACTCGACCGAGTTTACGAGTTCAGACAATGCTTTCGAGTTAACTCGTAAGCAAACTCGTTTTTAGAGTAGGATCGGTAGACTTGGTTGTTGACTCGCTAAACTCGCCTAAAATCGCGATTTTGGTTCCGATTTTGCGAGTTTGGAAAAAAAATTTGAAAACGCAAAACGGCTACGTTTTTAGGACGCATCAGATCAGGATTTATAAAAGATTCACTCACTGTTCATCTTCTTTCTCGCACTCTCGCATTCTATCTCGTTCGATCTCGCCTTTCGTCGCTTTCTCGTCCATCAGGTTCGCAGTCCGCCGCGTCGTCGATCTCGACTTTCGAACTCAGCCTCCGTCGCGCCGTCGATCTCAACGTTCGACCTTGCCTCTGTCGCACCTTCGTTCTCATCGTTTTGTAAGTGCAAACCCTCTATCACGTTCGACCTTGCCTCCCTCACATATATTTTAAACACTTTCTGGCACTCACAGGCACTGCAACATGATTTTTTTTATTGATTTTAAGTTGAGTTGATGTCACGGGCCAACAACATATTTTTTAAACATTTTTATGGCACTGCAATACTTTGGGTTCACGTCACGGGCACTGCAACTTGTAATATTTTATTGATTTTAAGTAAAGTTGAGTTCACGGGCACTGCAACTTATAATATTTTATTGATTTTAAGTAAAGTTGATGTTACGGGCACTGTACTACAGCAAATATTTTTTTAATAATTTTATGTGGGGTTCATTGGTATGCAATAGCAACACGTATTTTAAATATTGTTTTGTTTTCCAGCTGCAACATAATAGTATGTTACGGGCACTGCACCACTTTACAACATATTCCTTTTATTTTTTTCAAAAATAAAGTGTTGCATACTGCAATGTTAAAATAAAGTGTTACATAATAGAATGCTATTTATATTTTTTTCATACAAAGTAAACTCTTACGAGTTTACGAGTCGAGTTTACTGGACTCTCACGAGTTTACGTAAACTCTCGAGTTTGACAACCTTGGCTGTTAGTAAGTGGGCGGGAAAAGTTGGTATTATAAATACCTCTATTAGAAAAGGGTAGAGGACTTTTGGTGATTGTAAGATACATAACAGGTTCTAGGAACTCTGTTGAGAGAGGTTATGCTCTCGTGCATTCATTGTACATTGAGATTACTTTTGAATAACAACATTCTTTCATTCTTTCTGGTGTTCTGTGTGTGAGAGTGCATTGTGGTTGGGTTTCCTAATTTTGGTCCGACCTGCCGGATCCAAGACGAGGTGCGAGAGAATTAACATGGAGGGAAGGGTTGACGAAAGATTCAATGTGATGGAGGGATGGTTGGAGACGGTAGAACTTGCAGTTGACGGGATTAAGGCGGAGACGGGAGCGCTACGCCAAGATACGGTTGCGATTTGTCAAGAATTGAAGGAAATCATGAGGATGTTGGGAGGACGACGGCACCAGACGGAGGATAGTCAGTCTTCGGTCAATGCAAATGTACAGCAAGACGAGAACGAGGGGGGAGGAAGAATCGGGAAACACGGGCACCCTCCGAATTGGAGGAAGAGGGTCGAATTGCCCACCTTTGAAGGTCCGGATCCACTCAATTGGATCAACCGAGCCGATCGTTTCTTTGACCTACAAGGGGTAGAGGAAGATGATGAGAAATTGCAGCTGGCATACATAAGTATGGAGGGCAGTGCCGGGTAATTGTTCCGCTTCTGGAAGGAGAAGGCCAAGAACTAGTCTTGGGCGGGGCTGAAGGAAGCACTGGTAGCGCGATTTGGGGAAGGAAGCAGGGAAACCATTTTTGAAAGGTTGACCACCATCAAGCAGACCGGGACGGTCGACGAATTTATCAAAGAATTCGAAATCTTGGTAGGACAAGAGAAGGGAGATGGGCTATTAAAAATAAAGGAGGCAGAGGCATGGATGTTGTCTGGGAATTGGGCGAGATGGAGAAGGGGGATGGGGAAATTAACAACAGGGAATAACAGAGGACCAGAGAAGGGAGATGGATGAACTGTTGAACCAGCATGCAGGGGTGTTTCAAGAATTTAATGGGTTGCCACCCGAAAGACGTATGGCACATCAGATACCCCTAAAGGAGGGAGTTGACCCGATAAATGTAAGACCCTATAGATACCCACATATCCTAAAGAATGAGATAGAAAACAGGTGGCGGATATGCTACAAACTGGGGTAATTCGGCCAAGTACCAACCCATACTCCAGTCCTGTCATACTGGTGAAGAAGAAGGATGACTCTTGGAGATTTTGTGTGGTCTACAGAGCCTTGAATCGCGCCACGATCCCCGACAAGTTTCCCATCCCAGTTATAGAAGAGTTGCTGGACGAGTTGAGAGGAGCGAGGTACTTCTTTAAGGTGGACCTGAAATCTGGATATCACCAGATACGCATGGGGGAGAAAGATATACCGAAGACAGCCTTTAGAACACATTTGGGGCATTATGAATTTGTGGTAATGCCATTTGGCTTGACCAATGCCCCATTGACCTTTCAAAGTGCCATGAACGAGTGTCTGCAACCTTACATAAGGAGATTTGTCTTAGTCTTCTTCGACGATATTCTGGTTTACAGTCAAACATGGGCTGAGCATATGAAACATGTAGGGATGGTGCTGGGGAGGTTGGAGGAGAATTGCTGGGTCGCCAATCAGAAGAAGAGCGAATTTTGAAGAGCCCAGATTGGATACTTAGGCCACTTGATCTCAAAGAAGGGGGTAGAGATGGATCCAGGAAAAGTTAAAGCAGTGGTAGAATGGGAAAGGCCGAGGAATGTGAAGGCATTGAGGGGGTTCCTTGGGTTGACGGGATACTACCGTCGATTCGTCAAAGACTATGGCAAGGTGGCTAAACCCTTGACCGAATTATTGAAGAAAGGGGAGTACAAGTGGAATGAGAGGGTGGAAGAGGCGATGAGACGATTGAAGGAGACAGTGACCACAACACTCGTACTGATATTACTCGATTTTGAGAAGCCATTCCACATAGAATGTGATGCCTCGGGAGGAGGAGTCGGAGCAGTCTTGACACAGGACAGGAGGCCTATAGCGTATTTTAGCAAAACTTTATCGGTTGGATCATTAAACAAATCAATCTATGAGAAAGAGCTTATGGCACTGGTGATGGCCATACAACATTGGCGACCTTACTTGTTGGGACAGCGGTTTGTAGTGCACACCGACCAAAAGAGCTTGCGATATTTGTTGGAGCAGAGAATCACGACCCAAAACCAGCAGAATTGGCTGGCCAAACTGCTTGGGTATGATTTCGAAATAGTTTATAAAGCTGACAAGACTATCAGAGCAGCAAATGCCCTGTCCAGGAGAATGGAGGAATCGGGGGAGAAAGAACTGAAGGTGCTGTCCAAACCCTATTGACAGAGTTTTGAAGAGGTGACAAAGGAGGTAGAGGAGGATGCTTATCTGAGGAAGATAATGGAAGACATCAAGAAAGACCCAGACTCACCCTCCTTTCACGCTAGAAAATGAGAGGCTGCATTACAAAGGAAGGTTGGTGGTATCAGCTCAGTCAACGTGGATTCCAAAACTGCTAGCCGAGTTCCACCTAACCCAGACTGGGGGACATTCAGGGATATACAGAACCTATAGGAGGGTGGCCCAGTCACTTTACTGGGTGGGAATGAAAAAGACAGTGACAGATTATGTGGCGGGTTGCTTAGCGTGTCAGCAGCATAAGTATCTCACGTCTTCCCCTCAGGGTCTACTGCAGCCACTACCATTCCAAATGCTGTGTAGGAAGAAATCAACATGGATTTCATAGTTAAACTACTGAAGTCGAATGGGTATGATGCAGTAATGGTAGTAGTAGATCGCTTAAGCAAATATGGCCATTTCGTGCCATTGAAACACCCATATTCGGCACACACCATAGCTGATGTGTTCATAAGGGAAGTGGTCCGATTACATGGAATACCAGCTTCGGTGGTAAGTGACCGTGACCCTTTGTTCATGAGTATTTTCTGGAAAGAATTATTCAAGAGACAAGGAACTCAACTGCAAATGAGCACGACTTACCATCCAGAAACAGATGAGTAGACAGAAGTATTAAATAGAGTTCTGGAGGGATATTTACGTTGCTTTTGTTCGGAACAATCGAAGGGGTGGAGTGGGATTTTACCCTGGGCGGAATACTGGTATAACACCAGTTTCCAGGGAGCTGCAAAATGTACTCCTTTCGAGGTGGTTTATGGCCGACAGCTCCCATCATTACACAGGTTTATCCCAGGGGAAATGGCTGTGGAAGCAGTTGCTCAAGAATTACAAACACGAGACGAAGCTTTGAAACAATTGAAGTTTCATTTAGTATGGGCACAAGAGCTCATGGTCAGACAAGCCAATAAAAAAATGAGGGCAACAGATATTGAAGAGGGAGATTGGGTATATCTCAAGATTAGGCCACATAGACATACATCGATGCCATCTAAACTGCACGCTAAGCTGGCGGCACGATATTATGGGCCGTATCAGGTTGAACAAAAGGTGGGGAAAATGGCTTGTAAACTCCAGCTACCAACATCAGCTCTNCCCACCTTTGAAGGTCCGGATCCACTCAATTGGATCAACCGAGCCGATCGTTTCTTTGACCTACAAGGGGTAGAGGAAGATGATGAGAAATTGCAGCTGGCATACATAAGTATGGAGGGCAGTGCCGGGTAATTGTTCCGCTTCTGGAAGGAGAAGGCCAAGAACTAGTCTTGGGCGGGGCTGAAGGAAGCACTGGTAGCGCGATTTGGGGAAGGAAGCAGGGAAACCATTTTTGAAAGGTTGACCACCATCAAGCAGACCGGGACGGTCGACGAATTTATCAAAGAATTCGAAATCTTGGTAGGACAAGAGAAGGGAGATGGGCTATTAAAAATAAAGGAGGCAGAGGCATGGATGTTGTCTGGGAATTGGGCGAGATGGAGAAGGGGGATGGGGAAATTAACAACAGGGAATAACAGAGGACCAGAGAAGGGAGATGGATGAACTGTTGAACCAGCATGCAGGGGTGTTTCAAGAATTTAATGGTTTGCCACCCGAAAGACGTATGGCACATCAGATACCCCTAAAGGAGGGAGTTGACCCGATAAATGTAAGACCCTATAGATACCCACATATCCTAAAGAATGAGATAGAAAACAGGTGGCGGATATGCTACAAACTGGGGTAATTCGGCCAAGTACCAACCCATACTCCAGTCCTGTCATACTGGTGAAGAAGAAGGATGACTCTTGGAGATTTTGTGTGGTCTACAGAGCCTTGAATCGCGCCACGATCCCTGACAAGTTTCCCATCCCAGTTATAGAAGAGTTGCTGGACGAGTTGAGAGGAGCGAGGTACTTCTTTAAGGTGGACCTGAAATCTGGATATCACCAGATACGCATGGGGGAGAAAGATATACCGAAGACAGCCTTTAGAACACATTTGGGGCATTATGAATTTGTGGTAATGCCATTTGGCTTGACCAATGCCCCATTGACCTTTCAAAGTGCCATGAACGAGTGTCTGCAACCTTACATAAGGAGATTTGTCTTAGTCTTCTTCGACGATATTCTGGTTTACAGTCAAACATGGGCTGAGCATATGAAACATGTAGGGATGGTGCTGGGGAGGTTGGAGGAGAATTGCTGGGTCGCCAATCAGAAGAAGAGCGAATTTTGAAGAGCCCAGATTGGATACTTAGGCCACTTGATCTCAAAGAAGGGGGTAGAGATGGATCCAGGAAAAGTTAAAGCAGTGGTAGAATGGGAAAGGCCGAGGAATGTGAAGGCATTGAGGGGGTTCCTTGGGTTGACGGGATACTACCGTCGATTCGTCAAAGACTATGGCAAGGTGGCTAAACCCTTGACCGAATTATTGAAGAAAGGGGAGTACAAGTGGAATGAGAGGGTGGAAGAGGCGATGAGACGATTGAAGGAGACAGTGACCACAACACTCGTACTGATATTACTCGATTTTGAGAAGCCATTCCACATAGAATGTGATGCCTCGGGAGGAGGAGTCGGAGCAGTCTTGACACAGGACAGGAGGCCTATAGCGTATTTTAGCAAAACTTTATCGGTTGGATCATTAAACAAATCAATCTATGAGAAAGAGCTTATGGCACTGGTGATGGCCATACAACATTGGCGACCTTACTTGTTGGGACAGCGGTTTGTAGTGCACACCGACCAAAAGAGCTTGCGATATTTGTTGGAGCAGAGAATCACGACCCAAAACCAGCAGAATTGGCTGGCCAAACTGCTTGGGTATGATTTCGAAATAGTTTATAAAGCTGACAAGACTATCAGAGCAGCAAATGCCCTGTCCAGGAGAATGGAGGAATCGGGGGAGAAAGAACTGAAGGTGCTGTCCAAACCCTATTGGCAGAGTTTTGAAGAGGTGACAAAGGAGGTAGAGGAGGATGCTTATCTGAGGAAGATAATGGAAGACATCAAGAAAGACCCAGACTCACCCTCCTTTCACGCTAGAAAATGAGAGGCTGCATTACAAAGGAAGGTTGGTGGTATCAGCTCAGTCAACGTGGATTCCAAAACTGCTAGCCGAGTTCCACCTAACCCAGACTGGGGGACATTCAGGGATATACAGAACCTATAGGAGGGTGGCCCAGTCACTTTACTGGGTGGGAATGAAAAAGACAGTGACAGATTATGTGGCGGGTTGCTTAGCGTGTCAGCAGCATAAGTATCTCACGTCTTCCCCTCAGGGTCTACTGCAGCCACTACCATTCCAAATGCTGTGTAGGAAGAAATCAACATGGATTTCATAGTTAAACTACTGAAGTCGAATGGGTATGATGCAGTAATGGTAGTAGTAGATCGCTTAAGCAAATATGGCCATTTCGTGCCACTGAAACACCCATATTCGGCACGCACCATAGCTGATGTGTTCATAAGGGAAGTGGTCCGATTACATGGAATACCAGCTTCGGTGGTAAGTGACCGTGACCCTTTGTTCATGAGTATTTTCTGGAAAGAATTATTCAAGAGACAAGGAACTCAACTGCAAATGAGCACGACTTACCATCCAGAAACAGATGAGTAGACAGAAGTATTAAATAGAGTTCTGGAGGGATATTTACGTTGCTTTTGTTCGAAACAATCGAAGGGGTGGAGTGGGATTTTACCCTGGGCGGAATACTGGTATAACACCAGTTTCCAGGGAGCTGCAAAATGTACTCCTTTCGAGGTGGTTTATGGCCGACAGCTCCCATCATTACACAGGTTTATCCCAGGGGAAATGGCTGTGGAAGCAGTTGCTCAAGAATTACATACACGAGACGAAGCTTTGAAACAATTGAAGTTTCATTTAGTATGGGCACAAGAGCTCATGGTCAGACAAGCCAATAAGAAAAGGAGGGCAGCAGTTATTGAAGATGGAGATTGGGTATATCTCAAGATTAGTCCACATAGACATACATCGATGCCATCTAAACTGCACTCTAAGCTGGCGGCACGATATTATGGGCCGTATCAGGTTGAACAAAAGGTGGGGAAAATGGCTTGTAAACTCCAGCTACCAACATCAGCTCGAATACACCCGGTTTTCCATGCTTCCCAATTGAAGAAGGTTGTGGGAGAGAGGACTGTGGAGAAGGAGCTGCCTGAAGATCTGCAAGGGAAGGGCCATCTTATTGACCTACTAAGGTTCTTGACCGAAGGCAAATAAAAAGGAGAGACGAGGAAGTTCCACAAGTGCTGGTTGAGTGGCAAGAAGGAGGCCGTGATGGAGCAACATGGGAGGATGTCATTACCATACGTGATCAATACCCAGAATTCAACCTTGAGGACAAGGTTGAACATGGGGCGGTGGGTAATGGTAGACCCTGGTTAGTTTACAAGAGGAGGGAGAGAACTAGATGACTTAACTATCTTAACGGTTAAGTGGCTGTTAGTAAGTGGGCGGGAAAAGCTGGTATTATAAATACCTCTATTAGAAAAGGGTAGAGGACTTTTGGTGATTGTAAGATACATAACAGGTTCTAGGAACTCTGTTGAGAGAGGTTATGCTCTCGTGACATTCATTGTACATTGAGATTACTTGTGAATAACATCTTTTTTTCATTCTTTCTGGTGTTCTGTGTGTGTGAGAGTGCATTGTGGTTGTGTTTCCTAATTAGAAACCTAACAGTTGTGTTATAACTGCTTCTATTGTATGAATTGCTAACTAGCAACTGTACAGTTCCTTGTGTGAATGAACTCATTTTTAGTTTATTAGAATCACTTTATCTTCTATATCTTAATCTTTTCTCAATTATTAATTATTAATATATGACAACTACTTAATTACACTATTCTTTATTTGTGTCTGTGTTTAGGGTGTAATTGAGTGTCCTTGTCCAGATAAAGATATCAGGAGATTTGATGCAAATATGCGGTTGTTTCCCCCATTTATTGATAATGATATATGCCCTTTAACCATTAAAAACACCATTCTTCAGTCATGTTACTTGAGAAACACAGAGTGGGCTTGTGGAGTGGCTGTCTATACAGGCAAGTCCATATATACAATCTATTAAATTCTTGGAACTGTGAATACTTTTTCAGAAACAATTTAAATTTTGGTATCTGGCATGTATTTTATTTCTTCAGGTAATGAAACCAAAATGGGCATGAGTAGAGGTATACCAGAACCAAAGCTCACTGCTATGGACGCCATGATTGACAAGTTGACTGGCGCTATTTTTATATTCCAAATAGTTGTTGTTCTTGTTCTTGGCATAGCAGGGAATGTTTGGAAGGAGACAGAAGCTAAGAAGGTATGATACAGTTTCTCAAAATAGGTTTCTTGGGCAATGATAATTGTATCAAATCTTGTACCTATCAGGATATGCTCACCAGTGTTTATTATTTTTAGTTTGCTATATTTCCCTTTTATGGTAGTAGCATGCACCCTTAGCAATTTTGATTTTGTTTCAACATAGAGCATATCGGCTTGGCTGGTTGCTTCCTTTGCACTTTCATGTGAATTATGTAGTTGGGTGTAAATTTTACTATTTGTAAGCACACTTTGGTTTATTTTAGGAAATATTCCTCATAACCTTTTTAGTCCCTCCCTATGTCAATGAATGCTCAGGCATCATGGTTTCTTTTTTCTTTTTCTTAGAATAACCACTTCTTTTGTAATTTCCTGTGTCATCATGCTATTTTTTCATTAAAGGATTTTTTTTCCCTGAAATCTTACTTTTATGGGGTGTTTGGAACATCATCCAAAAAACACATTTTCTCAAAACCATGTCAAAGTGGAGAAAAATAAACAGAAGCATATTTATATTGGTTCTGCGTTCCTGCTTTGGATGGGAATCAAAAACATGATATTAGACTTTTGTTCTGTTTTGATGCCTTATCTTTCATAATTCTATGGAAGTTTCCGTGTTATCATGTAGGTGAATTCTCATGTTTTTTCTTTCTTTTGTTTTTCAAAGCAATGGTATGTTCTTTACCCTCATGAAGGTCCGTGGTATGAACTGTTGGTCATCCCTTTGCGGTTTGAGCTTCTCTGTTCCATCATGATACCCATTTCAATTAAGGTAAGCTGATGATATAGATTTAGCGTACATTATATTATATATAACATTCTTGTCATTTGGATAACAGTCATAATATAGATAGCGTAGTGGAAGTCCTTGAAGGTAAGAACATTTATGACCTTAAGAACTAAATGAAAATATCATTGAAACTTAAGTTCTAATTAAACATAGGATTTTCGGTTGATAATCCTAGTGCTAATGCCAATTATTATTGTTATTTAACTTCATAACTTTTAAATTGAGTAAATATATTGAGGGTAACTTTCTAATTTGATAGAGCCAACTGTTCCGTGTCTGTCAGGTATCTCTGGATTTGGTGAAGAGCTTGTATGCAAAATTTATTGACTGGGACAATCAGATGATTGACCATGAGACTAGCATTCCATCCCATGCAACAAAGTAAGTAACCAAATGATCCTATTATTAAAGAATTTAAAATAAGATAAATTTTGTAAGCTGTGAAATGTCTTGTATTATTAAGGATTGAGTTACAAAACTCAAGTATTTTTATAATCGAATGGCATGAGGTGCAAGCTAGTTGGTTAAGATATCAGTGGAAAATAAGACTGATTTATTATTCTCAATCATAAAAAATACATTCTGATACTCTTTATTTGTAATAATCTAATTCTCCTAAAAAGGGAAATATGAAAACTAGGAAAGTAAAATAAAATAAAAGGTTATATATCTATTTCTTCTAATTAGGAAGATTCTAAAGATATTATCTCAAATTACAACACTCTCCCTCAAGCTGGATCATACAAGATTGTATGAACCAAGCTTGGAATAGTCAAACTCAATTGTAGAGAACGTCAATAAACCAAATTTGACAGCAATGGACGAGGACGAACTAGTACCATGGAACTTCAACTTGGACAGCAATGGACTAGGGCGAACTAGCACCATGAAACTTCAACTTGCACAGCGATGGACGAGGGAAATTTCCATCAAAAATGGATGATGACTTGCAGTAGCAAACAACAACAAACTATAAGGACTGGATTGCCATCAATAGTGGTGAACAACAACAAAACTTCAAGAACATGATTTCCATGATGGGAGGCCTTCAAAGGCTAACAGCCACAAACCTGTAGGGACTTAACCACCCTGAACAATAATGAACCTTTAGGGACTTAATTGCCCTAACAACAACGAACCTTCAAGGACTTCACTGTCCTAAACTTTAGGGACTTAACTGCCCTAACAAAAATGAACCTTCAAGGACTTCACTGTCCTAACCTTTAGGGACTTAACTTCCCTAACAACAACGAGTCTTCAAGGACTTTACTGTCCTGAACAACAACAAACCTGCAGGAACTGAACTGTCTGCAGTGGCTAACAACAACAAACCTATAGGGACTTAACCACCCTACAGCGGCTAAAACAACAACAAACCTTCAGGGACTAACTACCCTGCGGCGGCTGAAACTTTTCTTCCCTTCACGACTGAACGACATATGCACGTCAATGACAGAACGTGAAGGTGGAAGAACTGGTGATAACTGATTCGTACTTGGGGACAAATCTGAAACCCCTAACATCGAACGAGCTAAATCAGCGGGCGGTCTCATAGAACAACTCTCATTGAGCTGTTATAACAAAGCATTGGCAGAAACCAAAAAACACCAAAGATTGGGACTTATGATGGCATCAAAAGGCCAAAGCCAGGTTGGAGGTCCAAAGTTCTGTGCTGGACTACTCCAAAAAGGTGATACTTAACACTGTATCAGAAGAAGTACGGGCTAAACTCTAGCCCAAAAAGAAAGTTTTCTGCATGGGCTGAAAAACATTTTCCCTCACGGCAAACAACAAGAACGACGACTAGTGCACTTCACGAGACACTCTTAATCTTGACCAAAGAAAATACGTCAGCTTATGGAGGCAACAACGACAAACTGCAGAGGTTATTCAACTGACTGCAGCGACAGCGGCATTAAAGCACCCGCCAACAAGGCTGATGAATTCTTGACTGAAACATTACAGCTACAGAAATAGACTCTCCTTCATGCCACAGGCCAACGGGGACATCACACTTGCAAGAGAGAATCACAATTGTGGAGACAAGCTTGGCCACATGTGTTAGGGCATTCGGCGGCACAAGCGGTAGAGACGTCAGCAAGAAGCACCACTCAGTGCCGCACAAGAAAGAGGAAGAAGAAATCCATTGGTGGTGGCAAAAAGCCCGTGAAGGCAGAGAACCCTTCTCAATGGAGAAGAAGATGACGGAAGAAACACAACAAACATTGCCGCCCAAGAAGTTACCGAAACACTTACACACTTTGTAATTGTTAGTGTCTTTCCTTTCGTCAAACGGAAGGCAAAATGGGAGGGAGGAAGAAGAAGTTCATTGACAAGAAGAACTCTGCCACTTTCCAGCTCATCGCTAGCGACGCCTCTGACCCATCTTTCTCCCAATCCAATTGCGTCTTTGTCCGTGTTGACAACAACCCCGTTTCCTTCCCCGATGCTGAAGATGCCGGCTTTGACGATGCTACTGGTGACTACGACGACTACGATGGAGTTAGCGGTGGCTCATTGCCCGAGGACGTCAGGAAGTAAATTCTGGAGCTAAGTTGTTTTTGAGAACGTCCGGGAAACGGACAATGAGGGAAAATGGAAGGCTAAGGCCCCCCTACAGATTTGGAATCGGAGGCCTTCTTCACAATTTTTTAGCGAATCAATTTCCAGGTGCAACTGGATGGCACCTTTCAGGATGGAGAAGAAAATAGCGGAAGTAGTAGAGGTAGGAATTACAACTGACTGTGACGGCAGCGACGGCGGCTGACTGCAGCGGTGGCGGTTGACTGCATCGGAGAGAACAGCAAAGGGTAGTAGTTGCGAAGTGGAAACGCGAGGTGACACCCTCTCCTCCTCGCGGCTGAGATGGATCCTCGTCAACCCGTCGGGAAAGTGTGTTGCGAGGAAGATGAAGATTCTGTGAAGCAACAAAGATGGTAGCAATGGAAGCTATGGAGGGTCATAATAAAGAGGAGGTCCGGCGAGTCGACCGGAAGCGTCGCGGTGTGATTCCGACACCGGGACAGCGGCGCGTGACAAACACACACATGAGATCTGACGGAGAGAAGAGGCGCGTGACGGCGCGTGCGGAGGAGTCTGAGACGTCGACCACTAGGGTTAGATCGTGCTCGAAGAGACGATCTAGATTCGCTGGTCACCGGTCGAAACTGCGACGGTGGTCGGCGGCGGACAGTGGCCGGCGGTGGCAGTCGGTTATCGACAGTGGAGATCGATTGGGTTGCGGCTGGCGACGGCTGGTTCGGTGGAGGCAATTGCTTTTCTAGGGTTCCCAGAAGACTTTAGGTCTCTTTGATTCTGGGTGCATATGAATGGAAGCCAATGAGAATGCCAAGTTTGGGCATTAGAGAAGGACCCATTCTAGTTTTACTGGGCCAAAGTATGGAAGAACAACTTCTTTAGCTGTTATAAGAGGAAACCAACTTGTTGTTGGTCATGAAGATTCTAGGTGGCTCTTGTGAAAGACACTCAATTGATCTAAGGATCATAAGCATAAACTTGGCTACGGAAACTGGAGTAGGACTGTCCATTGAAGGTACAAAGGTACTGGTTAAAAAAGAGATTTTTAAGGGGCCGGCGGCGGCCATGGCGGCCGACCACCGGCGGACAACAAAGACAGCGGAAGTAGATCAGACAAGCTCTGATACCAAGTGGAAAATAAAACTGATTTATTATT